GCACCTGCCCAGGGGGCCGCCCCCCCCTACCTGCGCGGAGAAGCCCCGTGGGCGCTTGCTCTGGCGTTTTCACTAACTTTGCTTCTGGTTTTGTTTTCCTTTGTGTCAATTTTTTTTAAATAATTTGTTTCGCTGTCTTAGGAATAAAAATTCAGTTTTTAATGAGCTGCTGTAATGATCAACAAAAGGTTATTTTAAAAACTGACCTGTAATGTTCTGGTGTATTCCTCATATAGTCTGTCATACTCTTTACTCTTGTCCTGATACTGAGAGTGGTATTCCTGAAGCTTTTTACCTACTGCATCTATGTTATCTTCTTTCACCAACTGATCCTGTGTACATCAGAAAAGAAAGATGGTAAAGTAGTTTCTCCAAGCACTGGTCCTCTGTCAACTTCAAGTGCCTATTTCTGTAATCAATGGACCAATTTTTATATTAGGCTTCTAGAAGTGTAGGGGGAAAAAGAGATAGTTTGACAAAGCAAAACATAAGCTTCAGAGTCCTGAAAGAGAGCAAGTGGGAATATGAAACTCAGAGCTAAATCCAAAAGAATAATAAAAAAAGACAACATAAGGTCAATAGATGCCTAGACCCCCTTAGAGAAAGAAGGAATAATGTAGGATAGATCAAATTTTGTTTGTTTGCAAAACAAGAGGTCACAGAACTTATGGAAAACTGGAGCAATTTTGCTCAGTGTTAAAGATTGCTACATAGCAAAGAGAAGGAGGAAGGATCAGCCTAAAGTCCTAGGATCTAGAAAACTAAGCACAGAGGAATGAGCAGTCACAATTCTGCAAGTGACTGATTTTAACATTTTGTAGATAAACAGTTGCTTTGCATCCTAGACCACAGAGCCCTGCATGTAATTCAATAACTCTCTCAACCTCAGCTTCTCCACTTGTAAAATACACGTGATGACAATTATCTGTATCATAAGGAGGTTGTGAAGCAGAACTTAATATTTAAGTAGCAGGAGAATTATAAAGGACTGGCCAACATGAGCGCTTGAAGTAGAGGTCAGGTCCGTCTCCTAACTTTGTGGTTATTGTTCTAGACCACATAGACTCTTGGAACCACTACTTTGTCCTTAAACATGCAAGGCTGAGATTTCAAGCAAAAAGGGGATCTGAGTTTTCACAGGATTCATATGAAAAAATCCGGGCTCTAGAGAGAAAAGCCAACATTTTATGACATGGGGAAAAAAAATATATAGAACAGTTACTGGACTCTGGAAACCTCACCTGTTGATATCTGGATACTGGATACATCAGCTTCACATCAAGCTTAGGATTGTACTGAGCAAGAGATTCATGGCGGTAGTGGTTAATCAGCTCCACAACAGAATTAAATGTCAATGGGTCAGAAAAACCATATTTTCCATCCCGATGATAAATCTTTATCAGTTTGTTGTTGCCACCTTTCCTGTAAGGCAATACAATAACTTAGAGGTTTTGTTGTGCACATGGATAGCAAGTGTACACACACAAGCTGCCACATGTACAGTATGAGTACCCATGCTGAGTTCTTCTTAAAGACAACACTACAATTCCTAACAAGAATCTTTATAGCTAGTCAGATACTCTAACATGTACCTTTAAGTAAATACACACAAAAAGTCTCAAGTTTTATTGAGCAGCAGAAAAGCAGAAAGTAAGTCTCTTCCTATATTATCTCTGGGAATAGTTTACTGTATTTAAGACCTAGTTTAATTAGAAATTCTCTAAGGGGATTGCTAAGGGTTCCTTAAGGCAGCCACACACAAAAAAACATGGTGAACAACCAGGAATATGGAACTCGGGACTAAACAAAAATACCCTAAACACCCAACAACAAAGAATACATAAGATCAGGAGATGCCTAGATTCCTCTTAGAGAAAGAGGGAGCAATGAGGGACACGTAGGGAAGAAAGATCAAAGTATTATACAAATTAAAAAGCACTTGCAAACCTATTATCAAACAGCATCCAAAATTTTAGATTGTTTAACACTGGATACTCAAACTTAAGTGAGTCCTTAGAAGGATTTATAACAGGTTAATTAATCCAGGACTTCAAAGTATCTAGTTTTGTATTTACTGGAAGTGTTTGCTTATTTTTCCCTCTACCAATAAAAAAAGTTTGAATAGCAGAAAAAGGACAGAGCACTTTCTTAATGTATGGCTCCTGCAGATACATGCCTGTGTGTTTACATATTCAGATCACCTTTAACTAGATTTTAAGGCAAGTCCTGCCTTGACAGAAAACTTATACTCAGTAATTTCAGAGCGGTGGTGCAAGTGACAACAGAATTTGGTCACAAGCATACATTTTTAAACTGATGATGATTTTGAACTCCAAGACAATATAACTATCTGCCACGTAGCAACTCAGAATAAAGCTGATCCTACTATTTTGTGAATATATTAGACAAGACTCTGCAGCAAGTTACACTTTGCTGTGTGATCAGAATTGGTGACATTAAATGCAGTGTCCCAGCTTAGTAGAACCTTCTTAAATCAAAAGTACAGAGAGATGGAGAGATACAGAACTAGGACCTTTACCGATTATGACTGCAACACAGAGATATCCAAATAGGACTGTTTCAGGATGCACTGGGCTCAGTACAAGAAGTGGGATGGTGTTTCTAGGGGCTGCTCCTTTATTTACTTATTCCACACATCAGCAATCTCTGGAAAAATGTTTCCAAGAAAGTGGAGATCTCTACTGAGGGCATTTCATGTATATACTAACGTGGTACCTATTGACACTGGTGTGTCTACTAAAAGCAAGGTATAAAAAGTGAAATACCCAATGCTTACCGCAATGTCAAAGTGTAATCTCCCTGCTTCTTGGTTGATGCATCACGCACCAGAAATGTTCCATCTGGCATGTCTCGTAATTTGTCATTTACCTCTTCCCTGGCAGAACAAAAACATTGGAAGAAGGATCAATGAGAAAAGTTAGGTAGTTGATTTGCTTAAAAATAAAACACAAAGAGAAGCCGTCGGGGTGCATAAGGAATCAGATTTCTTTTCTGTTTTGCCTTCAAAATCTTATGTAATCTAAAAGTTTGTTTTTCAAATTTTCTATTTTCAGATTTAGGATATCCTTAGGGATGCGAAAGGTTAATTGGTTATCTGGTAAGTATTACCCTCAACGGTAATGTTTATCAGTTCTGGTTAACCGGCAACCAGAGGCTGCTGGAGCAGCTCCCGGCCTGCTGCAGGCAGGGGGCTGCTCTGCCCCACAGGGGGCCTGCCATGGACAGGGGATGCTCTGGATGCCGGAGGTGGGGGTTGCTCCAGCAGGGACTGGGAGCAGGCAGCCAGCCCCGAAGTGGAGCTGGGGACAGGAGACCCGGGGATGAGGCCTGCTCCAGCAAGCAAGGCTTAGTCAATTAAACTGGCTAAACGTTAGGTAAACCTAACATTTAACTGGTTAACCAAGATTTTACTACCCTAATATCTGTAGGGATAATATTTTTGTTCAGCCTTTAAGGCTATGTTAGACCAGTCTGAACTTGCTCACTCTTAGCAAAAACCAGCAGCTGCACTTAACTGCTATTTAGAAAGAAGGCTATGTATAAGCAACAGGAGCAGCTGTGTCTCAGAGAAATCACCAAGTTCAAAACCTTTCAAAGTGTAAACAGGTGCCTTTTGTGAAAGCAGTTCTAGCTCTTTAAGAAACTGGCATGATCATTCATAGAAGTTGGGTCAGAGAAGTATCCAGTCCAGAACACATCTCTAGTCTCAAAGTTCACTAGTGGTTTGATTCTGATATTTCTTTTACTGCAGTTTGAAAGCCTCTGTAATGCAACTAAATCCCAGTGGAATTACTCTCAATTTTCAACTGTTGTGAGAAGAAAGTTAGGCTTTATTCTTTTAACTAAATGGAAGAGATTTTTATGGAATGGGTAGCACCCATAAGCATTTCAAATAAAGTATGTGACTCAAGAGTGTTAGCTGAACTTTTATGAAATTCATTCCACCCAAATCCACACCATGCTTTACTTAAAAAATTAATACTTTGTCCTTTATAGCACTCTTCACACAGGGATCTCAGTATATGTTTACACCTACGAAGTTTTTGCATTGTCCGTTTCACAGGTGAATAGGGAACTGTAAAAGAAAAGTGCTGGTTTGTGTACTCATTCAGGATCACAGACATCAGGGAGTATTTACATTTGCAGCACTTCCATCACAGATGAGAGCAACAACCCACTGAGGGCAGCTATCCCACAGTGCAGCTCTTCTGGGAAGGGGGAGGGGGTTATTGTAAGTCATCCTGGGTCCCTCCAGAGTTGCTTATCCCCAAACACTGGTCAGCTCCAGTAGCTCAGCATTGCTGCAAACAGGGGATCATTTGCTCCATGGAATAAGCATTGTCACCTGGTAAGACAAGTGAACACTAGCCAATAAAATAGGATGGGGAGTTTCAAAGTTCACAAGGGGAGGGGCAGGCATTTGTTACCCGAGTCAGAGCAGCAGAGGTGCTGGCCAGAGTGGTCACCTAGGTAACTGTGGGATATCCAAGGGAAGCTAAAAGCTCTGTATACCACAAAAATGCATCTGCACTTGCACATCAACAGTAAGAGCTGTCCGTCTCTTGTGAAGGCGATTTTCTTTTTGCAGTGACATTTCTGAGTTTCACAGCAAAAAGTCACTGGTGGATGTAAAATGCTCCCACGTTTTTTGCACAAAAGGGACGTTTTCCACTTTAAATGGTAAGTGTAGACATGCCCTCAGAAGCAAGTTGCAAACACTTTATTTAATTCATTGAGAGCACAGTTGAGATCAGCTAGGATATTTGACCTTTCATTCTCTAGTAATGCCCAGCGGGCTGGAACTGCAGTTCATTGTGGAACATCCCTAACTTATTCTCCACCCTTCAATCCAATAGAGTATAACGTCTGTTGGCTTTCAGAGCGCAATGAAAAGCCCATCTGTTGCTCAAGGTGGCTGACAACTAATCAAATATATATCCTGTCAGTGCATATTTGATTAGTATATATAAAGCCATTCCTGCAAAACTGTGTATACTCATCCCATCCTGAGATCACTTATACTCATAAATCAAGAGCTATGCCATTAGATCAGTATAGTAATACTATTGTAAAAGTGATTTAAGAGAACAATCAATCCCTCTGGGTTTTGTGATCAGATTCTGTCACTGTTCATTAAGGGCCTGAATTGCAGCCTGCCCTCACACGGATCTAAATGGGGTTATTTGAGTAGGATATTAAAGTGTAAGGGTGGCACAATCCAGATGTAAAGTCCTTTTTTCTTCTGTTGAAGTTCTAAGAAGCTAGTGGGGGGCTTATGAAATCTTTTGCTAGACACCACTCAGGCATGGAGCAGACAGCAATTCAAACTAGCATCTAATTCTTGTTTTAGTTACAGCTCTAGCATTTCTTTCTATATTAGGGATGTAAGCAACTACCTGATAAACCTGGGCTTAATGGGTAGTTGAGTCACTACTTGACTAGTCGCTCCCCTCCCCTCTTTCTGCTTCTGTATCAGAGCCAGCAGGGAGGGAGCAGGAGCCGGTGCTGGGGGGGGAGCCGGCTTAAAAGCTGGTTCCTCCCAGCACACTCTCCCCGGGGAGGTGGGGTGGGGTGGCAGAGGCGGCGGCAGGGGAAACTGCATGAGCAAGGATGGTCCCGACTCCTGCACCTTTGCCCATGGCTCTTACTACATTTGAAAGGCAAAGCTGCAGCTGGGATAGCGAACATCCACCCCTCCACCCATTATTGACTAATCGAGTAGTCGACGGCAATCCCATCGAGTACCTCATTAGCTAAAAATTCCTGTGGGACAACAGAATGTCATCATGACACCAGCGTCACCCCCTCACACCGCTCCCCTATGGGGGGGCAGAAGAGGAGGAGGAGGGGGTTATCTTAGGCTGCCACTCCAGCTCCTGTTCCCACCCTCGACTCTGGCTGCCTTCCGCACTGACCGGCCTCTTCCCCCACCGCCTGCAAATGCTCCTTGTGCCGCATTACCATCACCACCGGCCAGACCAAGCCCAGAATGCACAGCCCCACCTTTCTTGCTGAAAAGCTACTGCTCCTCCCCAAGCCATGCTACCGCTACTGCC